TTTTGTAGAGAGGTTGTGAATAAAGTGAATGACCGCTTGGAATTGGCGGGGGTGAGTACAGCACGGTGTAGGTGGTATTGGTGGAAGATATTTGGCGGGTCATGGATGTGGGGATAGATGCGTGGATAGAAGCCATGGCGAATGGGAGTAGTGTTGGAATTACAAAAGGAATTGCCATTGAATGAGGTCGGATTTATGGGCCAAGAGTTGGGAATGGCGGCGGATGGACGGGAAGAGAAGGTCATGGTCGAAAAAGGTAAAAGTAAAAGGTTTTGAAATGGGATGTGCGAATGGGAAGGTTATCTTCAATTCAAAGAGGAAAAATTAATGCTCTACGGTGAAACAGTATGGCATGATTCGGGAAATGAGTGCGCGTATCATTCTGGTAATGGAAAGTGTGTATGGCGAACAGTTGTTGGGTTTGGAAGGAGAGGGAGTGGAAGTTGGCGTGGAATGTAATGTGAGAGGAGGAAGTTATAGTCAATTTGACGATGTTAAAGGGGAAAGGAAACTGATATAGCATGAAACTCTCGGCCATCATGCCGCAAATGGGAGCGCGTGTCAGTGTGGTAATGGTAAATGTGCACTGTGTATTGGGAGCGTATGTTGGGTTTGGAAGGAGAGCGATACAGACTTGTTGTGGAATGGAAGGAGTGGAAATCTTTGGGATTCTGGTATTGATGGCGAAGTGTGGAAAAGGAAAGATTGGAGTGATAAATTCGATACGGTATTAGAATAAGTGTAGAGGAGTGGATTTGAGAGGGTGATGGAAATGGTATTTTCGGGGACTCTATTGTGAAGGGATATAGGAAAGGTGTGAGGAATGGGGGGAAGGAACGAAAACAAAGAGGGTGAACGAGTATAAAAGGAGGGCATTTGCTATCTATAAACGCCATCGTATGATTCTTGTTCGGCGGCATCGCTTAGGTCATACGATCCGGGGACAATACCCGTAGGAGGAGGAAGGTTTCTTTTTTTTTTTTAATGCGGAGACGGTTTGCTTAAGCTTAAACTGTTAATCAGTGACAGTGCACTATATATACAACACGAACATCCAAGTCGTGGCTGCTGTCCACTATTAAAATTGAGGGTGTTCAAAGCTGAACTTCATGAGATCATGAAGGTATAAAATGTGGATGCACAAAAATGTCTTTCAGGCAAAATACAATTTTCAAGCAAATTCTTTATGTATGCCAATGGCAACACTGCAGAGAGCTGAATGTCAGCACAAGAAAAAACTCCTTGCCAAACGGCCTCCAACTGACATTCACGCAGATGCATCTTTTCCTGCCCTTAGCGTACCAGCATATACATATTTTGTGGAATTGGTGGAGATCAAACTGATGTGTTTGTCGGACAACTTCTGCGGACCTGTAAACTGCTACAAGCCAGTGTCGGATAGCTGACACCGGGATCGGGTATTCCGGGTACGGATGTTAGATGGGCTCCACCCGTCCCCGACCAGCTGGGGCTATGTAGCGGTCGACACCAGCCAATTTGCAGTCACTCGATCCTTTCAGCAACTCAACCGTCTGGCACGAAAAACTAAAAAGCACGAAACCGCTACAAAATCCTCTAACTCAAACACATTGACATCATGGTTTCTGCGGCCATTGTTGGACCTGGATTGGGTGAGTACCTCAAGAGATATGCGGCTTTATTTTTTCAGACTCGATCCGATATAAATATCTGATTCTGACTGACACACGTGACATCCATCCCATCATTCCCATCCTCACAATGCAACCCCCAAAAAACTGGACTGTAAATGTATAGCTAGTTGTTGCACGGTTCTATCGGTCATCGGGGTCGTCTTCCTAGTCTCGCTCGGCGTCGGATTCGAGAACAATGCACACGTCTTGATGGGATCGACCGAGTCTCCGGAGAACGGCAAGAAAGTCGCCCGCGTTTGCTTCGCTTCGGCCATCGTATACGCTTGTTTTGTTGGCTTTTGCTCTTGTCAAGTCGGTCTCCATTTTTCCCTCTCTCTCTCTCTCTCTTGTCCTTGCCTGAGTGGTTTTCTCCATCAAATACAACTTGCCCAAAAAAATACTTAATCGGACCGAAATCCTAACAAGTCCCTCCTTCTTTTGACTGTGTATAGCTGAGCGCCAATCGACGGGTGGTACGAGGAGGAGAAGTGCACCTTCGGTGAACAAGGAGCACTTCAGACAGCCTCTCTGAATGTTGTAAATCGCAAGACTGTAATACATATCTCGACTCTTTCCCTCTCGTTATCTCTCAACCGTTAATTTAACCAGACCCAAGAACTACAGAAATATGGAGAACATAAGCATTCACAAGATAGAAGAAATTCATGATCCACCCAGCAAGTAACAAAAGTATGCATAGGGTGTACTTCTAACCCTAATTTTTTTTGTTCGAGATCACCTGATCAACTTACCTGCTCAATCATCGGGCACGGAATATCATCTACGCATTGCCATTGCGAAATATTCGTGTCACCTACCCAATTTAATCCAACCCTTCTCTGCTTCATAGCATAACCAGGAGATATATATCTAGATTTGCATGAGGGGCAGGATAATTTGGCATTTGATTTCAAGTACATCTTGGTTGAGTTTCGAATCCCATTTGTGAATAGGTTACATGACGCCCAAAAAATTGAACACGTTCACGCTTTTTTCCTACATTCGTGCTGTATTTCCTCCAACCATCTGACTCATCAGGAAGGCCTTGTGGCCTGATTTATCAATAGAAGGAGGCCTGGCAGGACGCGGTTTTGATGGCATTGCGCTGAAAATGGGTGGCGTTGTGACTGGCCGGATACCCTGAGGCTATCGACCTTGATATTTCACGCCTATGGCTGGAATGCGTTCAGCTGCGAAGTCCGGAACCACCTTTCAAGCATCACACTACACACTTCTTTTCTTTTGGACAGAGACCAAGAAGGTTCAGCAAAAGAAGAGTGTCACTGGGGGGAGGCGCACTTCAGTTAAGTTTGGCAAAAGCTGATGTAAGGTGGTTGTGCTTATTTGAGCAGAAAAAGAAATGAATGCCAAGAAGCTTAAAGAAAGTGTACAAATGGAAGGAAAAGGGGAAATGATTAAAGTGGTCTTTGTAACTACAAAAAAGAGAAAGGGGAAAAGGTCACAATAGGCTCGGTACAGCCAATCGAGGCAAGAACATCGAGCTTAAGTGACTCGAAACAATTGAATACAGATTTGAGGTCCGAGAATCAATCGGCATACGTTGCTGAGTAAGCATTGTAGTATGGATTGATATTGGAGACCAGAAGGGACGTCAAGGTGCAATGAAAGCACCAAAATTGACCCGGAACCAACGGTGAAGGGGAAGCCTACTAGAACTGACGCTGAGGAAAGCGGATATCTTTCTTGTAGACGACCAAGGTGTTAGTGGTGTCTACATAGTAGTGGCTTTGGATGTAAGTGGTAGTGGTTGAGGTGGGTGCATAGAGGTCGGGGATCAGGTCGAGATAATAGGTTGTCTCGAACTCTCTGGTCAAGCGTTGGGGTTGGTTGGGCTTGGCGGGCGAGTAGGTGTCGGTGACTAGTCGGACGGTGACCGTCTTTCCTGGGACGAGGGTGTGGCGGATGATACGGCTGGAGTTGGATGCCATATTGCTTTTTCTTCTTCTTCTACTGGTTTTGGGACGGTGCCTCAGAGGGTTTTTAGGGAAGGTGGGGTTGTTTGTGGATTTGGACGGGTGTCCGGTGGTAGAAGTGAGGAAGCTGCTGATGGGCTGAGGAGGTAGCCGACGGCCGGCCTTCTTATATATGCCTTCAGTCCGCTTGAAAAGCGCTTCTAAGCTTCTGCGTTGTGCCCCAGGCCTTCCCTGGAAACTCGATGGGATGGTTTCTTGGATCGGGTACATTCTCTGGGAATGCCTTCGGAAAGGTGTGATCATTTGATCCATCAAAAGCTCCGGCAGGATTTCTGGATGGCAAGGTACATTCCAACGACCAAATTATAAGAAATACTTACAAGCACGCTTGTAGGTTTGTTGTGATCATTTATAATTCGCTTCTTTCTTTTGTAAAACTAGCGTTCGATGGAAAGTTTGCTTGGATCCATTGCTTTTAATGTGTGGACGGACAGGCCGGATTTGGAGATGATGATTGAAGTCGGATTCCCAGAACACAAGCAGGTGAATTTCCATCTTTGGTGATAATTTCAGTACTAGCTGTTTGTGTTCACAACAACAACAACAGAAACCTCAATTCTCACCTAGAGGCTAGCATGGAGGGTCGAATCTAGGAAATTTACAAGGTGGGATCGGATTTGAAATCCTCAAGGAAGATAAGACATCGGCCAAGAATAGCATCAAGGCAAGCTAATTAATATACAAATTCAATTCGGAACATGCAAGAAAAAAAAAAAAGAGATGATTGAATGGAGTAAGAGACGGAAAAAGAAAAGGAATGGATGAGTGGAACTTGATCAAGATGCGAGTGCATAGTCAGTCACTGGCGGCTGGCCTCCTCTCATGGTCCGTATCCTCCTCATCCTCATCCAGCCGCTTGAAGTCGACAGTCGGTTTTTCCAAAGGAGGATGCCATGAATCATATTTTATGTGAGAAGCTGACTGATAAATTATTGTTGTCGTTCATGGAAGCCGTTCACCTCACTGTAGGTTGATATATTTCAATCCGGGAGGAGTGGTGGAGTGGGAGGTGATGGTTGCAGATGATTGAGGATGGATTGGTGGAGCCTCTGCTTGTCAGGCCAGCCAATGTTCTATATTCCAATGTGGTGAGGCTTTCTCGAGTTGGCTAGTCGATGGCCATCGAGCTCCATTGTGCGAAAGCTTCTTTCGAAGCACTTATCCTGTGGCTGTGGTGCCGCGCACGACGGGGAAGTTGAGCGGATGTTGCCAGATGGAGAAGGACTCTTGTTGATGGTGTGGTGGTCATGCCTAGAAGGACCAACAGGTACAGTCTTCTTTGAGCACCAAGTCGACCGGCTATTCGTCCTGTTTCCCTGATGCGTATCTAGAAATGGGTTCCCCTTGGTGGTTTTGCCACAGACTGCTCTGACCAGGATCCATCACCCCAGGCTCGGAAGCAGGCTTGGAAGTGTTGCCATAGTCGCCCATGGTGGCGTGCCCGACGAGAACGCTACACTATCTAATCGGGCTGAGCGTTGTTCATCTTCCGGGATGGCGATGGCGATGGCGGGTGGACACTGGAATGCGGTAGACACGGGTGATGACCTGGATCTGTCTTCTCACCTTGAGACAAAGTAATAGGTGGATGAGTGATCACTATTTAAGGTCATCATTCTATTCCATCCCACCTTCACCCCCATCCTTCAACCAGTGTGTACATATTGTGATAAGAGCAACATTTGTAAAAAAAAACCTTCCCACCCTACGAATTCTTTACATTAGCCCATTCTTGATAGCAGCTGCCGGTCTAGACTACATAGATAACTCCTTTAAATCACCCAAACAGAATACAAGTAAAACAAATGGCTTTGATCCAATTCCTCGTCATCGCGCTGCTCGGCCTACAAGTACTAGCAGCAAGTCCCCCCAAAAAACCAGTAAAACCAATGGATCCAACAGTTCCGCAATGCTATACTGAGCATGAGCTCATGGGTGAAGTCCAGAAGGCGGACTGTCCCGCGTACGCTTCTGTTTCTTTCTCTCTTGCTTGAACATGTTTATTGCCATCCCTTCCACTCTCGGCTGGCTATAAAGCAAATTTTCGGGATGTATGTTTCATCGATCTGACCTCATCTGCCAACCTATCCCACCAGCGCGCTGGCCAAAATCATCTACGAGAAGGACACCCTGAGCAAATTAGAAACCAGGCTGGCCGTCGTCTCTGGAGATTGCGTTGTGAGTCACTGCGCCATCTCTGTTCAATCATCGTAATGGGTGTTCGATTAACCGAAATGATCGATCGCGCTGACTGGAAACTGCTCCTCTTACCAGATACGTCTCAACAATACAAAGCAGGTTGTTGTGTGAGTGCTTACTCTCAGTGCTGGGTGGCAACATTGATCTAAATGGAGTCTTTTGATCCTTTAGGACAAAAAAACAGATCGAGGACACAGTTACAGAGCTTACAAAGTCTTCTTGTAAGGTGTGTAAATATGTACTGCGTTCAAGAAGATTGGTATGATAAATAGAGCCCAATGACTCACCGAACCTCATACTTTTTGACCAACAGAGTGGTCATGCTAAAGTCAAAGGCAACGCAGAGGTCTCAATCTCGATCACTGCACGCGGCAAACCTAGGGCCTGGTTCACTCCATACGACCCTGATTTCCCACTAGGGAAGCCCTTCTGTTTCCGTGCGGCCCAGGGCCAAGTGGTTAAGGAAGATTGCTTAGAGTGAGCAATTGTCAAGATCACTTTCTTGCTTTGCTTGGCTTGCCTCTGACCAGAGATGTCTTCTTCGACTTGCTAGGGCATTCAACCAGCTTCCTGTAGACGAACAAGGCCAGCTGGTTAGTCCAGCTGACAAAAAGATAGGGCACACATTTAACCTCAAAGTCAAATCTTGTCGAGTAAGTCAACTTACAACTCCCAAGCCCACATCCACATTTACAGTCCTTCTAGTGCCATGTGCCTTTTGAGACATCTTATACTGACTTAAAAAACCCAATTTGTGGTCATCAGGTAATTGTCTACACAACCGATGGATCGAATGTTTCTGTGTCAGTGTTCGAACTCAAAATAGGTTGATTATAGTAAAAGTATTGTTACTGACTCCTCATCTCCATCAAACAGCAAAAAACAGGATATCTCGGCCGTTGTGACTGGTATGATAAACAACTGCAATTCACAGGTGTGCAATTCTTTCTTTCGATTCCAGCCGACCAAAGTACAAATAACTAACTAATTGACAAAACCTGTTCTTCTATCCAGTGGGGTACTGTGAACGTCAAAGGTACCGAGGGTCCCAATGGACAGGGTCCCAATGGACACGTCACTATCGTCACTCGCAGTTACTGATCTCTTTAATCCTTATGGCTCTCAATTCCATGTGCTTTCATCAAGTGTTGTAACTTGTAGCTCTTCTTCAACTATAGAACATTCCTTCATTTTCTGTGGACTCGTCAGACATAGACTGTGGACAAATTCAAAAGTACATCCTGTATATAGTGATAGGCCAGCAACACCAACTGTAGTACCAGTGCAATGCCAACAACACTCAGCATTTTTCTGTTAAATATCAGCAGTCTTGTGCCAACACCAATGAACCTTTCTCAAAAAACATAAAAATGTGACTGGTTAGTGGCTTTTTGTGCTGCAGCACCCAGAAGCACTGCAGACAGCTAATTGCAGTTACACCAAAGCTTTAATTGTGTTGAAAAAAGGGCCATCATGCTAATGCCTTTTTTTTTAAAAAAAAAGGCCAGCTAGCACTGAGTATATGAAGAGAGCAATAGTCATTCATTTTCTGCTAGCCTCCCCAACACCCTTGCATGGTGCGTTGATAATTGCACTCTCCCCCCCCCCCTCCCCGCCCCTTGGAATCCTGTTTTTCCAAGGAATCAGGCTTCCAAGGGGTATGAAATCAAACCCACCCCTCAGAGACAGGCGGGTGGGATTGCACACCAACCAAGAACCAAGATAGCTCTTGGTTGTGCGTTGATAAATGCACACCCTCCCCCCTCTGGCCCCTCCAAAAGGGGCGTGCAATTGCACCCACCAACGCTGCAACGAGTCCAATACACGTATTTCTAGTGGGTGTGTATTGCACCAAAATGTATAGGCCATACATGTATTTGTATTGCAGCGGAAGGCCGCTGCAATACAGGTGTATTCTTCTTTTATGTATTGCACTCTGAGTACAATACGAATAAATGTATTGCTGGGTCCGCTGCAATACACCCTGTATTCATGTATTCATATGATTCCATCCAATAATAAAAAAAATAAAAAAATAAAAACCAAAAGCACAACTGATCATACTCTCACTCAACTCATGTTAATCAATCCCTGATCATCCCGTCACTCAAATCATCTCTGCTTGCATCCAGATTCTCGTTGTTGGTAAGTCATCCTCTGAATCATCTCAACCAATCCCTCCCTCAGACAGCTTCAAGATTTCAAATAACCTTATGAGCTGAACTTAGCTGATTCAGAGAAGTTGCATTGGATTAATCATCAAGTGTTGAGTGCATCGGCTGGAGTGGAACTACCACGACCCTCGAGGACCAAGAAAGAATAGTCCCAGAGACCCGCGGCGATTGGAATCCTGTCAAAATCCTTGAGTTGGGTCGGATTGTGTCGGTCAGCTGGAGTGGAACGAGCGCAATCGATTTGGAATCGCCAATCATTGATCATTGAGTGGATCGAGTCGGGTCAATCATCTCGAGGACCAAGACAGGATAGTCCCAGAGGCCCGCGGCGATTGGAATCCTGTCAAAATCCTAGAGTTGGGTCGGATTGTGTCGGTCAGCTGGAGTGGAACGACCGCAATCGATTCGGAATCGCCAATCATCAATAATTGAGTGGATTGAGTCGGGTCAATTGCGTCAAGTCCAAGAACCCGACCATCTGTACCGAATGTAGCGGTTGTCACAGTTGTTTGAACGACCTCCGCGACTTTTTCACAGCCATCAAGCTGAGTTCAGTGAACAATTCCGAATTGCCGATCAGCGATCTTCAAGTGGATCGGCTGCAGAATTGCGACTTCCGTGAGTGGTCATGTGTTTCCTTCTTGTTCTTGTCGTTCCATCAGAGTCTTTACATACAATCTTTGATCATCAACCCAGACAGATCTCTGAGGACTTTGAATTGTCTTCGTTCTTAGATTCTTAGATACATACACGTTTCTGGCAATTGTACCTTTCACTCGCATTCGCACCTCAACAAGTAGTCTTTCGGATTGATTATCGATCTCGTTGCACCAGGAAAGACAAGGCCAAGAGGGCCAACTGAATTGAGCTGTACCAAGAAATAAAAGGCCAAGAGGCCCAACTGAAGTGAGTTGCCCCAAGAAATAAAAGGCCAAGAGGCCCAATGTGGGTGCTATTACTAACCTTCTGCTTTTCCCTGCACCCTTTTCACCACTGCTCTCTTTCTTGGAATGCAAGCTCAAAAAATCCATTCCCTCCTGGATGGCACACCATTCCTCCCCCCCCCCCC